TTTTATTTATTTCTTAATTTATTTAGAGACAGGGTCTCACTCCCTCACCCAGGCTGGAGTGCAGTGGTGGGATCATGGCTCATGCAACCTTGACCTCTTGGGTTTAAGCGATCCTCCCGTCTCAGCTTCCAGAGTAGCTGGGATTGCAGGTGAGCACAACCACGCCCAGCTAATTTTTTTTTTTTTTTTTTTTTTTTTTTTTTTTTTTTTTTGAAGGAGTCTGGCTCTGTCACTTAGGCTGGAATGCAGTGGCACGATCTCCGCTCACTGCGACCTCCCGGGTTCAAGCAATTCTCCTACCTTAGCCTCCCGAGTACTGGGATTACAGGCACGTGCCACCATGCCTGGCTAATTTTTGTATTTTTAGTAGAGATGGGCTTTCACTATATTGGCCAGGCTGGTCTTGAACTCCTGACCTCGCGATCCACCTGCCTCAGCCTCCCAAAGTGCTGGGATTACAGGCGTGAGCCACCACGCCCAGCCATTTTTTTTCGTTTTCAGTAGAAACAAGGACTTGCTGTGTTGCCCAGGCTGGTCTTGAGCTCCTGAGCTCCAGTGATCCTCCCACCTCGGCTTCCCAAAGTGCTGGGATTACAGGCATGAGCCACTACTCCCAGGCTGCTCTCACTTTTCAATGAGGAAAATGAAGTCCAGAGCAGGCCAGTGACTCCCCTGGCATGAACAGAAGGGATGGCTACACACAGGAGTCTACATCCCAGGATTCCCGATTTCCCTTCTCTCCGTCCTTATCCGTTGCTACATTCCTTCCATTTTCTGCTGGCCTAACCCAAGCTTCAGCTCATAGGCCAAGACCCACCCGGCTTGTGGAAACTGTATTCTAATCAATGGAAACAGTCAAAAAAGTAAATTGGGCCAGGTGTGTTGATGCCTGGAATCCCAGAGCGTTGGGAAGCCCAAGGCAGGAGGGTCACTTGAAGCCAGGAGTTTGAGACCACCCTAGGCAACATAGCAAGACCCCTGTCGCTACAAATAGTTAAAAAATTAGCCAGGCGTGGTGGCACACACCTGTAGTTCCAGCTCCTCAGGAGGCTGAGTGGGAGGATTGCTTGAGCCCTCAGTGAGCTGTGATTGCGTCACCGCCTCCAGCCTGGGCAACAGAGCAAGACTCGGTCTCTACAAAACTAAGAAAATAAATAATTTTTTAATTAAAAAAATGCAAAAGTGAAAAAAATGTTTAAAAATGTAAAAAAAGGGCCGGGTGCAATGACTCACACCTGTAATCCCAGCACTTTGGGAGGCCGAGACCGGCAGATCACTTGATGTCAGGAGTTTGAGATCAGCCTAGCCAATGTGGTGAAACCCCATCTCCACTAAAAATGCAAAAATTAGCTGGGTGTGGTGGCGGGCACTTGTAATCTCAACTACTCAGGAGGCTGAGGTAGGAGAATTGCTTGAACCCAGGAGATGGGGGTTGCAGTAAGCTGAGATTGTGCCACTGCACTCCAGCCTGGGTGATAGAGTGAGTCTCCACCTCAAAAAAAAAAAAAATGTAAAAAAAGATGTAAAAGTGAAATGTTCATTTGAGACAAGACAAGGATAGCCATTCAGCGGGGCAGCCAGAGACAATGGGTATAGTGCAGAGATTGGAAGAGAGGACACTCCAGGCAGAGAGGAGTTCCCACAAGGGCCAGGAAGTACCAGGGGGCTCATCACATTCACACGTTGAAGCAGCAAGTTGCTGGAGCTGGCACAGGGTGAGGATGAGGTGTGAGGCTGGAGGCATTGGCTGCAGCCAGGTTAAGAAGAGAAGAGGCCAGGTGCGGTGGCTCATGCCTGTAATCCCAGCACTTTGGGAGGCCAAGGTGGGCGGATTGATTGAGGTTAGGAGTTTGAGACCAGCCTGGCCAACATGGTAAAACTCTGTCTCTACTAAAAATACAGACCAGGATCGGTGGCTCACACCTGTAATCCCAGCACTTTGGGACATTGAGTCGAGCAGATCACTTAAGGCCAGGAGTTCGAAACCAGCCTGGTCAACATGGTGAAATCCCGTCTCTACTAAAAATACAAAACTCAGCCAGATGTGGTGGTATGTGCCTGAAGTCCCAGCTACTCGGGAGGCTGAGGCACGAGAATCACTTCAACCCAGGAGGTGGAGGTTGCAGTGAGCCAAGGTCATGCTACTGAACTCCAGTCTGGGTGACAAAGCAAGATTCTTGTCTCAAAAATAAAACTAAATTAAATAAAAATAAAAATAATTAGCTGGGTGTGGCAGCACACACCTATAATCCCAGCTACTCGGGAGGCTGAGGTGGGAGGATCACTTGAACCTGAGAGTCAAAGATTGCAGTGAGCCGAGATCGTGCCACTGCCCTCTGGCCTGGGTGACAGAGTGTGACCTGTCAAAAAAAAAAAAAAAAAAAAAAAAAAAAAAAAAAAAAAAAAAAAAAAAAAAAAAAAAGTTAGAGGAGCAGCAAGGGATGGGGGCGTGTCAGGGAGCCCTAAGAGAAGATGGAGTTTAAGACTTTTTTTAAAATTAGAGATAGGGGTCTCACTATGTTGCCCAGGCTGGCCTTGACCTCCTGGCCTTAAGTGATCCTCCCGCCTCGGCTTCCCATAGTGCTAGAATTACCAGCGTGAGCCACAGCACCCAGCCAACCACCTCCTACCCTTTCTTTTAAAGACAGGATCTAGCTTTGTCGCCCAGGCGGGAGTGTGCTGGTGCAATCCTAGTTCACTAATTGCAGCCTCCAACTCCTGGATTCAAGTGATCCTCCCGCCTTAGCCACCCAAGTAGTTGGGACTACAGGTGTGCACTACCGTGATTGGTTAACTTTTTTTCTTTCTTCTTTTTATTTTTTATTTTATTTTATTATTTTAGAGATGGATTTTTGGCATGTTGGTCAGGCTGGTCTCGAACTCCTGACCTCAGGTGATCTACCTGCCTCGGCCTCCCAAAGTGCTGGGATTACAGGCGTAAGCCACTGAGCCCGGCCACTGGCTTTTATTTTATTATTTATTTATTTGAGATGGAGTCTTGCTCTGTCACCCAGGCTGGAGTGCAGTGGAGTGATCTCAGCTCACTGCAACCTCTGTCTCTTGGGTTCAAACTATTCTCCTGCCTCAGCCTCCTGAGTAGCTGGAATTATAGCTGCCCACCACTATGCCTGGTTAATTTTTGTATTTTTAGTAAAGACAGGGTTTCACCATGTTGGCCAGGCTGGTCTCAAACTCCTGACCTCAAGTGATCCACCTGCCTCGGCCTCCCAAAGTCCTGGGATTACGGGTGTGAGCCACTGCGCCTGGTCTTATTTTATGTTGTTTTTAATAGAGATGGGGTCTTGCTATGTTGCCCAGGCTGGTCTGAAACTCCTGGCCTCAAGGGATCCTCTCACCTCAGTTTCCCAAAGTGCTGAGATTACAGGTGAGAGCCACGTCACCCAGCTGGGATTCAAGATTTGAGAAGTAAGGCAGTTCTGGGTGACAGTAGAGGTTGGGAGGGGCAGTGGAGAGAGCCGAAGGGAGGCTCAGTGTGGTCAAGGGGATGAGCAGGTGGCATGCCTCCAGGATGACAGCAGGACTCGGGGACGCGCTAAAGACATGCCAGGCTTCTGTCTGCCCTCACCTTCTGTCTCCGGATACTGGAGCCCCAGCTGCATGGGCTGCCAGGGAGTGAGCTGGCACCACTAGGAGGTGCTGCAGGGGGAAACTGTCTGGACTCCGGAGGCTCCAGCCCCACTTCCCTGTCCAGCTCCAGCGGGCTGAGGGACTGCTCCCCTGGTGGCCTGAGGGACTGCTCCCCCAGGGGGCCTGCGGGACTGCTTCCTCGGCAAATGCTGGTATTTCCCTGGCGCACTCGTTCCCACGTGGCCTGGTGGGCAGTGCCCAGGGAGGCTGAGGAGGCAGAGAACAGGAAGAGGAAACCCCCCTGGTTTCTATCTCACAACAGGGACCCGGCAGGGAAACCCCACACATCCTAAAAAGAAAGTGGCAGCAGTGGTTCTCGGGGAAGACCAAGAAACCCCATCCTCTCCCTGAAGATGGGAAATCCAGGGCGGGGCTGAGGGCGGGGCTGTGCTGGAAGGGAGATCTGTGGTCCATGCAGCCCAGCCCTGATCATGGTCTCTACAGAACAGAAACACCAAGATTATTCTGGGACCTGGCTGAGCCCTGATCCTGACCTCAGTCAACCCGAGCCTGGCCACAGGCTGAGCCCCAATCCTGGTGACTGACTGAGCTCTCATCCCAGCCAAAACCTGGACCCCCCCTCCTCCCAGCTCAGTCACAGCGCCAGTCAGCACCTTGGCCAAAGACCAAACTCTAGACCCAACCCTACAGGCTGCAGGCAAAGCCCCAGGTCACCAGTAGCTCTGATCCTAAACCAGACACAGCAGGAACATTGGCCCTGGACTAGGTTGTGAGTTCAGCTGTAGACTGAGTCCTGATCCTGATTATAGGCTGAACTCAAATCCTATATCTGACGCTGGTTAAAGATGGAGACAGAGCCCTTGGCCCTGAAGGAAGCCCTAACCCTGGTTCCAGACATGGCCTCAGACCTGGTTTTATCCAGTCCTGACTGTGGTTACAAACTGAGCCCCAATCCCACCATCACACTGAGCCTCTGCCTGGCCCCATGCAAAAGTGCATGCGGCCACCCATTGAGCACTGACTTTCTGCGCCACCTCCGTCGGCCATCTGGTAAGCCGTAAGGGAGTCAGATGACTCAAACCCCGGGCTCCCTCAGGTGGGCCAATCCCCTTACCTGGCCATCCATCTTTGGAAGGACAGGAGACCCTAGGATGGTGGTGGCAGAGCTGAGAATTAGCAGGGGGTTTGGGACTCTGGGATCAACCAGTGAATAGGGCTGGATGGCTCACCCAAGCGTGGGCATTGAGGACAGGGCTCGACGTGGGAGCTTAGCAGTGGGTCTGGAGCTTAGATGGCCCGAAACCCCAGCTTCCTGTCACCCCCCACCATATCTCCCACCCCCTCCGGGAAGGGAAATTACATTTCCCCATTTTAGCAAGGGGTGGCGAAAGGGAAGAGTGAGTGAACACAAAGCTGAAAGTACAAGCAGGACGGAAAGTGAAACTGGGCGCAGCCCCCAGTATAAGACCCCCCCTACTCAGGAGATGGCTGACCAAAGAGGCTGGGCCCCGGCATGGGCCAGATGGCAGGCGACCTTGGCTGGCGTGAGTTTGAAGCCAGGGGTGGGGGGCTTGGCTGAGTTTGGGCAGAGGATGGATGAGCTTGGCTGGTGCAGATGGGGGCTGAGAGCTGAGAGCAACAACTTGACCAAGACTGAGGACTCGGCTGGCTATAGGATGGGAAGGAGGCTAGCGTAACTGGGTGGGGCCCTGGGGCAGTGGGGTGGTGGTTTGACCCAGGGCCGGGCAAAGGATGGGAAAGAAGCCCTGGCTACTGGGAATGGGGAGGGTTGGACCAGTGATTTGACAAGGACCAGGTCTAGGCAGATCAATGAAGAGTTTGTAGTGAATAAGCAGAAGCCAAACAGCTTGGCTAAGACTGAGGATGGGACCGGCTGGAGGAAGAGCAGAAGGAGGCACTGGCACTAGTGGGGCGCTGGGGCCAAGGCATCAGCAGCAGCTTCACTGGGCCAAAGGTCTTTAGTTTGATGCTTGAAAGGAGGTTTAACCTGCGGCTGGGGGCGCAGAACTCAGGGGCTAGAACCAGAGCAGTAGGCAGAGGAGAAGGTAACATGCCATGTAGGGCAGGTAGGGACCAAAGGCTGGATGACAGAAGCAGAACCTTCCAAGGCCACAGCCAACGATCCAGGATCGGCTACAGAGGGTAAAGAGAGGGTCTGGGGGCTCCAGAGCTCAGGTAGGAGATGGCAAAACTCACTTATGGTTGGGCTTGATCCAGCAGGGACTAGGGGCACCCACTCCCGTCCCCAGCACTGAGCTAGGAAGAACCCCACTCTGCCTTAAATCTCCAGGTTGTCAGAGGGCCCGAGTGGCCTCTGAGCCAGGGAGTCTGAATGCCAGAGATCTTAGGTTAGGCATTGCCCACCATACCTGGAAGTCCATGAAGGAGGTGGATGTCCCTAGAAGCTCCCCTTCACCTTTATCAAGGGGACATTTAGAAGAGCAGAGCCCAGGGGTTAGAGATCAAGAGAGGACGGGGAAGAGGCAGGGAGAGAAGGGAGAGCAGGATGGACTTCGGGCCAGTTTTGGTTTGTGTTTCGAGGAGAATTGTGTAACTTTTGTGCTTGCTAGATTTCCTTTCCCTGAGGGGGAAATTGCTGAATGCTGCCCTCTTCCTAGAGCCCCCACCTCCTACCCCTCTTTCCAGGAAAACAGGTCAGGAAGCACACTCAGAATTCAGCCACTCTAGGCTGGGCGCAGTGGCTCATGTCTGTAATTCCAGCACTTTGGGAGGCCAAGGCGAGTGGATCACCTGAGATCAGGAGTTTAAGATCAGCCTGGCCAACATGGCAAAACCCTGTCTCTACTAAAAATTAAAAAAAAATTAGCCAGGCGTGGTGGCACATGCCTGTAATCCCAGCTACTTGCTGAGATTACAGATGAGGCAGGAGAATCGCTTTAACCCGGGAGGTGAAAGTTTCAGTGAGCCAAGATTGTGCCACTGCACTCCAGCCTGGGCGACAGAGTGAGACTATGTCTTTTTAAAAAAAAACTCCCATATTGTCGATTCTCCCCAGGCAGTTTCCCCTGCCAGGATCCACCTGCCGTGTGGAGGCTGGACCAACCTGTCCTTTTGACTCCCTGGGATAGAGCCTCCGGCATTGCCAGCCCATCCTTGGGGACCATATGGCCAGTTCAAGCCATCAGAGCTGCCTGGCTGAGCCCAAGGAATCCCTGGCAGAACATGATGTGCCCACTCCTGGGGCAGGTGGCTGCCACCCTCTGCATTCTCTGGGGAAAACCCATGGGCTCTGCACTTGGAAAAATCTGGAATCCAGTCCTGGTTCCCCACCTTCTGGCTATTTGACCTTGGGCAAGTCATCCTCACTGAGTCTCATCCGCAAAATTAGGAGAACAGTAGCACTGAGGCTGCCACGCGTGGCTGTGCAGGTTGCTCACTGGCAAAGGCATTTGGCTAAGGGAGTTTATGGGGGTCCAAATCCAGCCTCTGTCCTGGCACAGTGGCTCATGCCTGTGATCCCAGCAGTTTGGAAGGCTGAGGCAGGAGTATCTTTTGAGGCCAGGAGTTCAAGACCACCCTGGGCAACATGGTGAGACCCTGTCTCTACAAAATAAAAATAAAGAAATAATTAGCTAGGCACAGTGGTGTGTCCCTGTGGTCCCAGCTACTGGAGAGGCTGAAGCAAAAGGATCATTTGAGCCCAGGAGTTCAAGGCTACAGTGAGCGGTGATCACACCACTGCACTCCAGCCTGAGTGATGGAACAGATCTCTGTTTAAAAAAAAGAAAAGGATCAGGCTTCTCTGGTCTTTCTACAAAATTGGGCACTCCATATGGAGATGCCATATGAGGGCCGTGCTGGCTGCATTGTGGGGTTTTATTTTGTTTTCTTTGAGACAGAGTCTGGCTCTGTCATCCAGTCTGGAGTGCAGTGGCATTATCTCAGCTCACTACAGCCTCCGCCTCCCGGGGCTCAAGTGATTCTCATGCCTCAGCCTCCTGAGTGGTTGGGATTACAGGTGTGCGTTACCATGTCTGACTAATTTTTGTATTTTTTAGTGGAGACAGGATTTCGCCATGTTGACCAGGCTGGTCTTGAACTCCTGGCCTCAGGTGATCTACCCACCTTGCCCTCCCAGATTGTTGGGATTACAGGCATGAGTCACTACATCTGGCCTCTATTGTGGTTTTGAGGGGGCAGTGAAATGATGCTGGCGAAAGTGCCTGCACCGTGCTCACAGCTAGCACACGCTCCGAAAAGCCGTGTTCCCTTCCTTCCCCCGAGTTCTCAAGCTCTCTCCCCATCTTGCCCACCCTCTCCCATCTCTCCAGGGCTCAGCCTGTTGCTGCTTCCCTTGCTCCTGGTGCAAGCTGGTGTCTGGGGATTCCCAAGGCCCCCAGGAAGGCCCCTGCTGAGCCTGCAGGAGCTGCAGAGGGAGTTCACCGTCAGCCTGCATCTCGCCAGGAAGCTGCTCTCCGAGGTTCGGGGCCAGGCCCACCGCTTTGTAAGTCTTCCTAATGCAGCTGGTGCTGGGCATGGGCAGATTCCCAATCCCTTCTGGTCCCCACTAACAGATCTTGCCCCCCAGGCTGAATCTCACCTGCCGGGAGTGAACCTGGACCTCCTGCCCGTGGGAGAGCAGCTTCCCGGTGTTTCCCTGACCTTCCAGGCTTGGCGCCGCCTCTCTGTGAGTGAGGGCTGGTGGGGTGGGGTGGGGCGGGAAGCTCGCGATAGGCTGGGGCCAGGGTGCAGGATGAGGCTGGAGATTGAGCCGGAGGTGCACTGGGGATAGAACCTGGATGAGGTCAAGTATGTCATTGGACATAAAGATGAAAGCCAGGCACCGTGACTTACACCTATAAACCCAGTGCTTTGGGAAGCTGAGGTGAAGGACTGCTTGAGGCCAAGTGTTCAAGACCAGCCTGAGCAACATAGAGAGACTTTATCTCTACAGAAAAACTTTAAGAGTTAGCCAGGCATGATAGTGCACACCTCTGTGGTCCTTGCTACTCAGGAGGCTGACGTGGGAGGATGGCTTGAGCTCAGGAATTAGAGGCTGCAATGAGTTATGATCATGCCACCGCACTCCAGTCTGGGTGACAGAGAGAGACCTTGTCTCAAAAAAATAAATAAACAACCAGGCGTGGTAGCTCATGCCTGTAATCCCAGCACTTTGGGAGGCTGAAGCAGGCTGATTACCTGAGGTCAGGAGTTCAAGACCAGCCTGGCCAACAGGAAAAAAACCCATCTCTGCTAAAAAAAAAAAAATACAATAATTAGCTGGGAGCAGTGACTCACACCTGTAATCCTAGCACTTTGGGAGACTGAGGCAGATGGATCACCTGAGGTCGGGAGTTCGAGACCAGCCCAACCAACACGGAGAAACCGCATCTCTACTAAAAATACGAAAATTAGCCAGGCGTTGTGGCATGGGCCTGTAGTCCCAGCTACTCAGGAGGCTGAGGCAGGAGAATTGCTTGAACCCAGGAGGTGGAGGTTGCAGTGAGATGAGATCGCACAACTGCACTCCAGCCTGGGCGACAGAGCGAGACTTCATCTCAAAATACATAATTAAACAAACATACAAACAAACAATAAAGATGAAGCTAGAATAAAGAAGTGGGGTTGGGAAGAGGTCAGAGTGGAGCTGGGTGTGGAATATGGCGGGCGTAGGACTAGAGTGAGGCTGGAGGTGGAGATCACAGCAGCATGGGGGAGTGGAGGTGGCACTGGGGAGAGACTGCGGATAGTCAGAGATGAGAAGGTTGGAGATGAGGGTGAACATGAAGCAGCGGATGGAGAAGGGGTGGGGTTGCTGGTGGGAAGGGAATGGAATGAAGTTGGAGATGGGATGGGGAGATGGGAGGAGTGACTGTGCACATGGAGCAAGGATGGAGTTGGGGTTAGAAATGGGAAAGAGGCTGGAGATGGGATGGAAACGCGTGGCAGAAGGTAGGATGGGATGGCAGAGGAGGGAAGGGCACAGGGCTGTGGGTGGAGGGTGCTGTGGGGACTAGGTGGGGTGGGTTGGAGAAGATCGTGGGCATGGGAGTGAAAGGGAAGCTGGAAGAGGAGATGGGGCAGAGGTCCCAGACGGTGGAGATGGATGGGATGGGGACAGAGCTGGGCCCAGGTTGGGAAGAGCTACAGGGATGGATTGGAGGCTGGAGTGTGAAATGGGAAGGAGACCCGGATAGGGAGGAGGTGGGTGTGATGTGGCCATCTTTGGCCTGTGGGCCTTTCCTGACCGTCTCCCTGCCCTTCAGGACCCAGAGCGCCTCTGCTTCCTCTCTACCACACTTCAGCCCTTCCATGCCCTGCTGGGAGGGCTGGGGACCCAGGGCCGCTGGACCAACACAGAGAGGATGCAGCTGTGGGCCATGAGGCTGGACCTCCGGGATCTGCAGCGGCACTTCCGCTTCCAGGTACAGCCCGGCCACCCTCGGCCACCCCAGACCACGCAGGAAAGAAGACTCGCTGGCTCATCCAGCAATCTCATGTTCTGAGTGTGTGTGAGTGAGAGTGTAAGCATGTGAGTGTGGCTGTGAGTGGGTGAGTCCATAAATATGAGTGTGGGGGTCTTGAGTGTGAGTGTGTGAGTGTGATTGTGTGTGGGTGGGTCTGTGCCTGTGAGTGGGTGAGTCCATGAGTGTGCAAGTGAGTGTGTGGGGGTCTTGAGTGTGAATGTGATTGTGTGTGAGCGTGTGGGTCTGTGCATGTGAGCATGACTGTGAGTGGGTGAGTCCATAAGTGTGAGTGTGAGTGTGACTGAGTGTGTGACTGTGAGTGTGTGTGGCTCTGTGTGTTAGCGTGACTGTGTGAGTGTGACTGTGAGTGTGTGTGGCTCTGTGAGTGTGTTAGCATGACTGTGTGAGTGTGACTGTGAGTGTGAGAGTGTGACTGTGTGTGTGTGTAGCTCTGAGTGTGAGTGTGAGCATGACTGTGTGTGTGTTGGTCTGTGAGTGTGAGTGACTATGAGAGAGAGAGAGAGAGAGAGAGAGAGAGACAGTGTGTGTGTGTGTGTGTGTGTGTGTGTGTGTGTGCAGCCGCACCAGGCCCTGGTGCCACCCTTAATCTTTGAATTCTCCTGGGGCTCCATCTTGAACAGGAGGCCATTGGGCTGTGAGGTCACTCGGGGTTTGTCCTGAGTGCCCCGCACAGCGTCTGCCTCCTGTTTCCCTTCTCCCTCTGATTCTCTGACGTCACCCAGATCCTCCAGAACCTTTCAAAGGGAAATCAGAATTTTACCCTTAATGAAATGAGAATAGAAAATGCAAGCAGCAGGGCCAGGTGTGGTGGCTCACGCCAGGAATTCCAGCACTTTGGGAGGCCAAGGCGGGTGGATCATTTGAGGTCAGGAGTTCGAGACCAGTCTGGCCAACATGGTAAAATCTCATCTCTAAAAATACAAAAATTATCTGGGTGTGGTGGTGCATGTCTGTAATCTCAGCTACTCGAAAGGCTGAGGCAGGAGAACTGCTTGAACTGGGGAGAGAGAGGTTGCAGTGAGCTGAGACAGCGCTACTGCACTCCAGCCTGAGTGACAGAGTGAGACAGAAAGGAAGGGAAGGGGAGAGGAGGGGAGGGAACAGAAGGGGAGGGAAGGAGAGGGAAGGGGAGAGGAAGGGTGCAGTGGCTCACAACTGCAATCCCAGCACTTTGGGAGGCTGAGGCGGGTGGATCGCGAGGTCAGGAGTTCAAGACCAGCCTGGCCAACATAGTGAAACCCATCTCTGCTAAAAACAAAATACAAAAAATTAGCTGGGCATGGTAGCGGATGCCTGTAATCCCAGCCACTCAGGAGGCTGAGGAAGGAGAATTGCTTGAACCC